CTTGAAAAACTTATGCAAACACCAAGAATAATCCCAAGAATGATGGTAGCAATCACCATAAAATGATTAAACTAATAGTATATATCATCTCTAAGATTCCCATAAAAAAACTTTAGCCAAACACAAGGGTGCAATCTCATAAATTTGGACTTTCATCTATTTTTTAACCTCTATAGATTGCCATGTGTCACATACCACATGCCACATGTCCAAAGGACAGCGGAGTGGAACTCGAGTTTCAAAGCTTTGTGTAAGCTCATAAGTTTGGACTTCCTAGGAAGTCACATAGCCCAATATTATTCAAACCCAAGGACGCTTAACCCCAGATATCCCAAGACCCTTAACCGATTGGAAAAGGGGGTGCATTTTTATTCATGAGCCCTATCTTTCTATATTTAAACCCCAATGGATCGTCTTTCAAGTTGTTCTCTTTAGTTGTTTATAATCTACTATACTTCCCTGCAAGTTTACGCCCTCGTGAACGAAAATTGAGAGTCGCAACTCTCCCGAGAGCCCCGCTCTCTTGATACCTTACCCTTCGGGTCAAGCCCAATGGGAGCAAATTGGACCAGCTAGATGTCAATCAACATGTGGTGTGATTCTTCTAGCCAACTAACAGAGTCGGACCAAAAACCCCTATGATACCAAATGTAAACTCCTAAGTTTGGACTTCTTGGGAAATCACCTAGCCCAATTCAAAACCAAGAACGTTTAACCCTAGATATCTTAAAACTTAATCGATCGGAAAAGGGGATGCACTTTTATTCATGGGCCCTTTCCCTCTATATTTGAACCCTAATGGATCGTCTCTCAAGTCGTTCTCTTTAGTTCCTTACACCTTGGGCCATTGAACAAAAGAACGGAGCTAAACTCCTAAACATGGAGCTAAGGAGTGTTAGAACTGGACCACGGAACAACTCTTGAGTATACGACCCAAAGAGTGAAGGGACAGGAATACGGAGTGACTTGGAACAATCCTAGAGCATCTAATATCCCAATGCCAAAACTAACACACAAAACAGAGTCAAATGGAGTTTGGTGTTATTTCAGTATACCGATGGCCTAAGATGAAGATATGGCTACTCCACCAGCTAACATGGTGTGGAATTTAGGCTTATACCCAAGCCAGATGCAGAACAAGGACAGACACGCAAACAGGAGTTAAAATATGCCTCATGTTGGTTGACCATGCCTGACTTACCCACTATCCCTACTATACATTTGGAACTCCCTATAGCCCCCTCTTGAGGAACACACACTTTGGGCTTTCACCCCAAGTTTCCCTTAGTATCAGGAGTTAGCAAGCTCAAAATTTACTAAATATGGAATGTTCTTAGATTGTGAATTTGGACATGAGATGTATACTCTCTACATTCCATAGATATGCCAAATGAGCAAATCTAGACACTTTCTATAAATAACATTTGGGACCAAAATGAGACTAACACAAAAGGCATGATAGTGAGGATGTTTAGCAAACACAGTAAACTATCATCTAATGAATATTGAGAGACCAAACTCAATATCATGGGGGTTTTTAATACTAGCAAGTGCAAGCCAATGACACAAATTTCTTAAACCAGGCCGAATATGCTCAACAAAAAATACATAGAGTTCCTATCTTATGTTTATCCAATTTAAGTGCATGGTTATTGACTAATTTCTTAACTAGCTCAAGTGGGAACTAATAACGAATCCAACAAGACCAACCTCTTGCCATTGTAGTAGTAAGGAAAGAGTGTCCGTAAAGACTAGCCAACAGGTAATTTTCAATACCCAAGGTCACATTTGCAATAGCTTCTTAAGTCATTCTTTTTAATTACTTACAATCCACCATACTTCCCTAAAAATTCATGCTATCGTGAATGGAAGCTTCACTCTCTTAATACTTTACCCCTCAGTTAAGCTCAATCAGACCAAATTGAGCCACCAAATATCAATCTTAACATATAGTGTGATTCTTCTTAGGTTCCTAACTACCAAATTGGATCACTAAATATTAATCTCAACATGTGGTATGATTCCCTTAACAAACTAGTAAAATCATACTTAAGATATCAATCTTAACATATAGTGATTCACTTAACCAACCAATAGAGTCAAACTTAAGACCATTCTAATACTAAATGTAAACTTCTAAATTTAAACTTCCCAAAAAATCATATAACCCAGTACTAAAAATGTTTAACCCCAAGTATCCCAAAACCCTTAACCAATTAGAAAAATATATACACTCTTGCTTATAAGCCCTTTCCTTCTATATCTAAATCTTTATAGATTATCTTTTGAATTATTCTTTTTGATTGTTTACAAAAGGTTAGCAATAAGAGTAAGAGGTGTTGTACCACACACTATAAATGCCACCATCAATTGCACTAACTATTGCTCTAAAGTCAAAGAAAGAAGAGGTTATTACTCTACTATGAAAATGAACAAAAAGAAAAAAAGCAAAAGAGAAGAATTTGAAAAAGTTACAAGGAAAGTGAGATTTAGACAATGCAAAAACTAAATCTAAACTTTAATCCCAAATCTAAGCACTTCTAAAAAACAATCAAAGATATCTCCATCAATATGAGTGTATAGAATATAGAAATAGAATATAAAATATACATATTAATTAGCCTAAAAACTTTACTTTATATACAGGAGCAAGTGGTCTGGATTGAAACCAATTTAATAGCTATTAAAATCGCATTATGCAATTACTAGTATACAATATCATAACCATACAATTGGACCTCACAATTTTTAATTTACTTTCTCTGCTAGGAGTAAAGCACTCCTAGCAGACCTTTATTATGGGGAAACAAACTGGATTTTTTTTATTAAATTTTTTTATTCTAATAATAGTGGTGATTTTTTGTCATTAGTTCATCATATGTCTCAATAAAATAGGATTTCCAAATGTATAACCAAACCATTCTTAACATGGTTCTTTCAATCCTTTTACAAGCATCTATGCCATTTTTGCTTTGGTCATAAGTTATAGCCATTGTCATTTACACTTTGACTCGTATTTCTACATTTTTCTTAGGATCACATGATATGCCTTATGAGATTTGGATGGGTTATTTTTCTTCTCCTAGTCACTTTTGAGTTTTGGTTGTAAAGTAGTCCAAATCCAGGGTATTCATTGGGTATCATAAGCATATCAGAGGCTATAAGGTTTATAATTTTCACACTTGCACTTCTATTTCACACATGATTATGAGCCAGATAAGATTTTATAGAATATTCATATGCATATTTCACCATCTACACAGATGAATCATACAAGAAGAAAAAAACACTTACAAATTCACCAATTGGAATAACAAAAAAAAATGAACAAAAGAAAATTCCATTAACTTTGGGGATGGTTATTATAAAGTAAACCTTTGA